ACAAAATCACAGGTGCCAATAAAGAAAAAATCAGTAACAAATCAAATGCACAAGAACGGAACAGTAGAATACCTTCCCTCTTATTTCTCTCCCTTTTTTCTTTCAAATCTTCTCTTTCCTATACTAGCAACAATAACATCAAAACCAAAAATATAGCAACAACAAAACAAAAATAGTCCAAATATTAAATACCGACAAATTAAATCAGTCCAAAAACACCAAATTAGAAACACCCAAACATCGAAAGCTTAGGGATTTTCATAGCTTAGATTAAAGCCTAGAGAGGCAGAGAGATCCGAGAGAGAAGAGGACCTGAGTGGGATTGAGAGAGATGAGGGAGGAGGTGGATCGAGAGTTGAGAGAGAGAATGAGATAGGGTTGATAGAGTGAGGAGTGAGAGTGAGAGCGAGACTTGCTTGCCTGAAGAAAGAGAAGAAAATTGAAAACCAAAATCTGAGAGGGTATATGGGCATGTCAAAATTTTAGATGGCAAAAGAGGGGTACAAAAAGAAAGAATGGTGTAGACTATGTAATGTATATGTATAAAGTCTTTAGTTGGTGTTGAGGCATAAAATTGGTTCAACAGAAGATGACCTCTTCGAGATCAAGGTGGGGAAATTCTTCCAGACTAGGTCAGCGTGACCAACCAAGTCATCCTCCAGAACCTATAAAATGAAAGAGCTTCAGCAGGTGACACTGGAGTGGTGCCGGCCAAGGACCCTTCGATGCTTATGTCAGTCGAGTGTTTGAGTGAACACCACGTAAATCAACCTCATGCGCACCAGGCCCGAGCTCATGGACCAATGGGCCCACAAGCCCACATGCGTCAGGGTGGAAAAATAAATGGCGACTAGGCCCGACCACTAACACCATGGTCTAGCCCAACTCGACCACTAACACCGTGCTCTAGCCCTGCTCGGCCTAGAGGTATTTTACCTCACAAACAGTTGGTACTGTCTTTGTGTTGGTTCGTGCCTTACTGGAAATGATGGAGGGTTTTACTCACGGTTTTCAGTTTTTCATTGCCTTATTCTCTACTTTATTCAAATAATTAATTATAAAAGTTATTAATCCGTATCCAATAACATTTTATAGGGATTGTTTCTATTATCAGTTCCTAATAGCATTCTATAGAGACTGCTTTTATATCTGTCTCTAATAAACTAAACGTAAAGCAAGACTAGATGCTATTTGACTAATAAGTAAATGATGAGTTTCATGGGGAACATCATCATCAGACACATCTTTTTCCTGTCCTGCATTCTGTCAGAATTTTAGTGTTTCTTTTTTCTTTGGGAAGGGGAAGGGAGTGCAAGAGTTGACCTCTCTCGACTTATGTCTTACCACATTGTTTGGTATTAAAATGTGCGGTCTCCATCATTATTCTTTAACTTATTTGAGTGTAATTGGGTGTATTCGTTCTCATCTTACAATATGATTCCGTGATTTCTACATGACCGCATATTTTTAGAGGAAGATTGTATATTTGCACTTAATTAGTATAGTTACAATTTACAAAAAGATGCCATGATAGGAGCTAAATGAGTATCAACAATGCAGGTGACCCAACAGGGCTTTGAGCATTTTCTGTAGTACCAGCAGTTTTCATGGCAACAACCATTATATATCAAGATTGGACGTGTGAGAAATTTAAAAAAAAAAGAGTCATAGAAAAAGCATTCAAGTTTTAAATTGAATTTACACTGTGTTTGGAAAAAGTAGCTAAATGAATCTCCATTATTTGTTGCTACCCTTTCCACATGTATTTATATACATGTGATATAATCACTTTCCATGTCTTATAGCTATATCCATAATTGACTGGCTAAGATGCAAGGGACTTGTAGCTCAAGTGGGTTAAGAGTATTTACCCTTGCACCAGAAGTCTTAGGTTTGATTCCCCCTCCCCTAATATCATTTTTATCAAAAAATAATAATACTAATTGACTGTCTAAGATATTGTGATTTACAATGGAACTTGATAATAATCTCTTTGAACTTGACGATTTCTTTTTGAGGCTCAGTCGCTTAATCCATTTTGGGTACTCAAATGAATGCATGGGTTGCTTTATATAAACTCCTCCCTGAAGCAATGTGATGAAGCAATGACTGATCTCTATGGGTTGCTCATGCGCTTCATCTGTGAAAAAGAAATTAAGTAAATTTATTTCATCCTGGGAATTATTTTTTAAGGAAATTTGTCAACGCACTTAACAGTCTAAACTGTGACAGCTCAAAATTGATTTTTCCCTTTTGCCCTTTTCTGAAAGACAATAGGGTTTTATTGAAAGATTAAGATGAGTAGAGATAAACGAGAAGAACATGAGTTTACATCTGGAGGCTCCTAAAATAAATAAATAAAACATATCATTATCTGCAAATAAACCCAACTTAGCCAAACGATGAGCCACAACATTGACCATTTGGCAAACATGAAAGCAATCTTTTATTTGCATTTGTGCTACAAATCTAATAAGGACTTAAGAATTTTTCTTTTCTTCAGTATCACTAATCACTCAACAAATTTGATAAAAACTACGGAAAAAAGAAACAAGCAACTAACGTAAGTAAATAAATTCACTTTCACATAAATCATGTGTTATGATTTGAGAGGTTAAAGCTACTCCGATTTTTTAAAGACATATTTATTGTAAAACTTATGACACAAGAGACAAACAATCTAGTAATGTACTTTCAATGGCAATTAAGCCTCAAGAGTGGCAGAATAAATTTTTAAGACTGGTTGGAAAAGCTTATGCCTTTATATATTATTTGGCAATGTTATAAAACCAAACCCCTCGTGCATCTATTTCTCTCATGCCCCATTTCTATAATGGAATAAGTTTCTTTCACTAATATTTTAATAGTTTCCTGAATTTTCCTTTCCCTTTCCTTTTCTCAAAGGGGACGGCATGAAAAATGGAACCGGTTGCAGCAAAGAGAAACCCATTCAATCAAAGAGACCAAAAAAACACGTATCAATATTTACGTGTAAGGTTTTTATTTGAACCAATATTGTATTTTGGCTCTTCTCTTAAACAAACAAAACCTTTGTAATATTAATTAGATTCTAGGTTAGAATCAGTGTAGGTTGAAGGCCTTCCAAGTCTCTTCGTTGCAGATCCCGATGCCGAGTTCTCACGTATCAATATTTACATGTGTAAGGTTTTTATTTGAACCAATATTGTATTTTGGCTCTTCTCTTAAACAAACAAAACCTTTGTAATATTAATTAGATTCTAGGTTAGAATCAGTGTAGGTTGAAGGCCTTCCAAGTCTCTTCGTTGCAGATCAAAAGGTATAATCATTTGCATTGCTCACATGGATTAATCCATCTTGGATTAATCCAACGTACATTCATGCTGTTGTCTGTTCTTTGTATTAATACTTCCATTATGCGTCTGTCTTTTACAGCTTTGACAGATTTCTTAATTCTTCCCTTCCTAAAATCTGACAAAAACTTGAGAGTATTTTTACTCCCTTTCCAAACGGCTCTTTGCCTTCTAGGAAGCTTGCTTGTGTTTATTTAATAACCCATACTCTTGTTCCCTATAAAAAAGTCTTTTATTTTAATAAACTTGCTGTTTCAAATGGGAACTTGCGACACCCATGCTCCTTGGTTATCTCATTCCCTAATCTTGTCATCTCACTTTGTCTACCACCTTATCCAAGTGATGGGTTATAAGCTACCTTTTATTCCTCTCTTCAGACCTTGTCCCAGGTGTGGCTTCTTGTGTTTAGTAAACAAGACATCACTTGTTTTTGTTTATTCTTTTGCTGACTTGCTGTTTGTGTTTTGCACAGCTCCGTGGGTTTATTAAGAAAGACAATCACATGCCTTCTGTTTTATTCTCTATGCTTGCTGTTTGTGTCTTGCACAGCTCCTTGGTTGAATTGCTTAGGACAGTAGCTAAATTAAAATATGTTTTTAAAGCTCTCTATATAGGCTACCTGTTGGACAGATTCGGAGGAGAGGAGAAATTCATGCATTGAAACTTACTTATGTTTTTCAAAGTTATACTCTCTGCAAAAACAAGCTGGAACAGTTTTTAAAACATCTCTTCTCTTCCGTGAGGGATTTTCCAGATTATGTAAAACAATTTCTGCTCATTCCCATAGACACCTTAAGCAGATATGTTTATTTGTTTTTGAAAAGAATTTTCATATGTGCTCTTGAGCATTCAAAAACATCCCCATTTATTTTCAGCCACTTGAACACTTGAGAGTATGTGTATGATTGCATACACATAGATTGTCTCCAACGTTGATTCATATTTATTGTGGCTGAATGTTTTGTTTCATTGTTGTTATGTTGAATTAAACTATTTGCTTCAAGTTCATTACTTCTAGTTTAATCATCACAACACTTAGGTTTCATTTGTCTAGCTCAATCATACTTTGTGATTGAGATAGATGAATCTGTGAAACCATAACTCACTTCATACATATGCAACTTGAGCTTGGTGCTCTTGAGAGGATTTGCTGCTAAGAGATAAAGGAATTGGTGCTTGCTGTAAGGGTGATTGATGCTGCCTATAGGTGATAGATTGAGCTAAGTCTTCCTTCTTTTCTTTGTATCTCTTAATGAGCTTATTGGATCTCTCCTGGCTTGGTGCCCCCAGTTTTTCCCCTTGTTGGGTTTCTGGGTCAACAACTCTTTGTGTATGTTTATATTCATGTTGCCATTGTTGTACTTGCTGCATTCTGTTCAAATGACTTCAGCACACTAACGTGGATCAATACGCGTTGTACTGTATTGATCCAAAATCACAAGAGTTTATGTATGTATTAATACGTGGTATTGTCTGTATCAATCCAGTTTCCGCTTATTATTTCTTAGCTGGGCTTAAAATTTAAAAAGGTAGGTTATTACCATATAGCCTACTTCACCCCCCCTCTGTAGGCTTTTAGAGCCTAGGGCCTGGTTTTACAACATGCATATATACAGGAAAACCTCTAACAAAGGCGTGAAGACCCCCTACCTGGTGTCCACGCAACCGTAAAACCAAACGCCACAGTAGAGCTCCAAGAGAGTCAGAAATCCCTATAAACTGTTGGAAAAATGGCTCACATTTAGTATGCAAGTGAACGAGTGAGCGACCGGTCGCAAGGTTTGGGCGACCGGTCGTTTTTACACAGATTCGAAGGCTGGAGAAATCGCAAAAAGCAACCGGTCACAAGGTATCCGCGACCGGTCGCAATGTATCCATAAGGTATCAGCGACCGGTCGCAATGTATCTGCGACCGGTCGCCAGTGTTGCTGTGCTGTTTTTTCCATGCGTTTTTCAAGGTGTCTTCACATGTGTCGGTTTCCTACCTAATCCCTCGAGCTTCCAAGGAGTTTTATGGGTTCTAGGATGTCTAGCAAGGTGCTGGAAAAGCTGGAGCACCATTGAATGAGGATAGTTGACTTGTTTCAAAGAGTACCTACCCTATAGCTCTAGATAGGGTGGCTGAAGTTGCAGCTATCTATGCCTAGCCTTTGTTCTGCCCAAGTTGTGGTCCAAGTCTGGAAACCAAGGGGAGAACGTGGGAGGAAAAGATGGAGCCT